ATCACCTGATTCCTCCTCTACCTGGGGTCTTTTTCCCTTTCTCCAGCACGAGCGGAGGACCCTTCTCCCTCCATGTATCACTATAACAAATGTGAGTATCGCATATGGATCATGATAGCATGCAGTATATATTCCACACGCTCATATAGACCTCTAACACCCTACCTAAACAGACCAATTCCTAAATTCACTGTCACACTAGACTAAACTCGACTACTGAACTATCAACTTTAGCTCTGATACCAACTGAATTGTCGCGCCCCATCCCGCTCTCCCAAGGATAAGACGTGACTGTATTTTTTATATATTTGTTTACGTATATATAATCTAAATTAATAAAATACCAAATAATCTCACAGGTACAACAACACCCCCTATCACCTTAGTCGTTAAACATGATGGTAATTCCTATTTTATAACCTGTACCATATATAACACATATCATTTCTATTTTTCAATACAAAATCCCACACTCACATAGCATACGTCACAAAGTATGCTTGTTGAGTCTATTTACAAATATATACATCATCACCTATTATAACAATCCCTCACTCCATATAATATACAACCTGATTAATATCACACTAACGTTGTACAAGACTCAATCAACTGGACAATGGATCGGTCTGCATCCTTCTCTAAAGTACTTGAAAAGTAGAAGCTATAGGAGTGTGAGCTAAATTACGCTCTCAGTGAGTATACATTCTGTATATGAAATGAAAATGATAGTAATACACTGAAGGAGGTAGATACTTTATAGGTATATGTATCAAACAACAACATCAATCATATTCCAAAGAATTCACAAGTCACATCCCACCCATACTACCCCTCATCGGGTAGTCAATCCCACATGGATCCGCGTCTCCCGAACCTCTCAAAAACACCACAGTGCTAGCAGACCACTGCACACCCAGTGATCAGACATTGACGCTCCTGTCTCAAACAGTGTGTCATATTCCATAATACACAATATACAATGCACAATACAAAGTATCATCTAATCACATAAGCATATATCACATAATCCTGAAGAAATGCTATTAAATTCTATCATCTAACATCATCTTATAATAACATTTTTAAAACATATAAAGATATATACCCATCTCAAATATGCTGATCTATGGCCCTTCGGTTCTATCGGTGGATCCTTTTGATGTTTTAGTATCTGTCTCTATACCAACTGTCCTACCTGTTCTATCTAACACATCACTATTAACATGTTTATCACATTGAATACTTAATCATGCACTACTGCATGCAAGATGATTCAACCCAAAGTGCCCCGGTAACCCCGGTTATCGCACTGTTCACTCACATACTGACACATTAGATTTAGGGATCATATTTCTTCCCCAAATCTTTAAAATCACAATTAAGATTTAGTAGGTCAAACATATTGACCGGGACCATTTTTCACACATTTCAACCCTAAATTCCAAAAACTGCACTTCCGGCATTTCGTACATTCCGCACCGGATATTATATTCATTTGCATTCAAAATTTACATTATCACATCAAGCATCAATTAAAAATGTTGCATTCAGATCATTTGGATTAAAATTCATACAAGTGATAATAATATTTAAAAATCAGAGTTTTGACATTACTGGCACCCATATCCACTTTTTATCGTACTTTCTTTTAAAATAATTTTACCTAAACTCACACACTCCATAACTCACACAAATCTGCCCCTAATTGCACCTTAAACTTTCCCCTTCACTCTCATAATTTCGATTTCATCCTAGCCCTGCAAAAATATACCAAACATCTCAAATGACCCTTACCTAACAGCCCGTTAATTACGTTTCATACACTTAATGAAACTCACAAAAACCCGTTGTGAAATTAAATTACAACAGCCCGCTAATTTATGTTAATTCACTTAATTTAAGCTCACAAAAATAATGTTTTGAAATAAACTAAAACAGTCCATAAAATTAACTAAAATAGTTCTTGAAATTAAAATAAAACAATCCACTAATATACATAAATACTTAAAATTAATCACACACGCACACACACTAAAATGAACACACAAACACCCATTTATCGTCTTCTTGTTTTCTTCTTACTTTTGGTTTGGCATGGAGTCCTTTAAACTCTTCTTTCTTTCTTTTTCTTTTTTTTATTTCTTCTTTCTCTCCTTTACCATCCCCCCTCACTCACGGTTTCAACAAAACCAGAACACACACACACACATTTGTCTTTTAAACACACTCACTTTACTACATATTAAACTATACACACATTGTTCCATGAATTATACACGCACACTTTACTACACCTTAAGACACACACACACACACTTGGCACACACACATGCACTTAACTTTTCTAAAATGACCCACCACCTTAATCTTGACACACGTGTAAATATATTTTCATGAAACTTTAATAATTTTATTTGTCTCATTCCAAATTCTTAAGTGATTTCAAAATCAATTCAATATTATTTTCGTACACAAAATTCTATCTAATAAATATTTTCACATGATTGCAATTAGTTCACATAATTATGCTAATATGTATGCAATGCATGATCGGGTCTCACATATATTACGTATACATTAATGTCATATATAAATATAATGATAAAATATGTATTTGTACTCTTTTTAAAAATAATTTTTTTTAAGAAAAATAAAAAGAAAATATTTTTTCCATCTTACCAATCACAATATATATATATATATATATATATAATCATTTTTATTTTCCATTCATTCTACAAAACACAAAGGAATGAAAGTGTATTATTCATACTCACTTTCAATCATACTTTCATTATTTGAATAATAAAAAATATATCACTCGTACTTTTTATCCCTTATATTTTTCATCATTTTTATCAAATGGAACATTAGTATCATCAAGTGTCATCTAACAATGACTAAATGATACAATTAAAATATTGAAGACAAAAATGAGATAAAATGATACAATTAAAATATTGAAAACCAAAATGAGATAAATTTTATACTTTATGCTCTATTTGATAGAAAAGATGAAAAGTAAGTAGGATTGAAACTAGGAGGGATACATTTTCTATTTTTTAAAGAAAGAAAGTAAGAATGATACACTTTTATTCCTTTGTGTTTGATTGGATGAATGGAAAATAAAAATGACTAATTTTTTTTTTAGCTAACTAAGATTAGTGGTAACAATCGAGTTGTGTCGTGTCAAATTCGTGTTGAATCATTACGGGTTTGTGTCAAACGTTAGTTAAATTTAACTCAACTCATTTAACTAATTGTGTAGTGTCGAATTACGAGTTGACATGTTTATTTTCGTATTGTGCTCGTGTTCGTATTCGTGTTCATGTTGACCCACATAAATTTTGAATAAAAAATTTAATACTAATATTTTACTTTCACTTAATTGAATCCATGTTAATATTTTTTCTACAAACTAAAAATTAACTTAAATAAATATAATAATAACTAAAAATTTTTTTATATAATAGTTATGTTAGTACTTAATAAATAGTTATAAATAATTAATATTTTATGTCTATAATATTAGTTAAATATGTTTGTTTTGCATTATTATACAAACAAGGAAATAGAGAAAATGTTTATTTTTAAATAAAAGGGTTGATGATATCAATTTTGAGTTTAACTGGTTGAACTGAATATGACTCTTTTATATTTTTTATTTGTATTTCAAGTCATTTTTAAGTTCGTGCCATAAAATTCATGTCGAGTTTGAGTTGTGTCGTCGTATTGAGTCGAAAATTTTCACCCCTAATTAAGATGAAAAAATATTTTTTTTAATTTTTTAATTTTAATTTTATTTTTTTTTTAATTTTTTTTAAAAATATATATATAAATACATATTTTATTATTATATTTTTATATGAAATTAATGTATACATAATATATGTGTATATCAAAAGATATATAGACAAATAAGATACATCTCAACATAAATAATTAACTTTTCCTCCACTTTCCTTTCGATTTTGGAGGAATTGATTTTAGTGAGTTGGAAGGAAAGTTAATTCATCTACTTTTCTATCATTCCTATTTCTCTTCTTTACCAATCATTATGTTTTATTTATCCCTCCAACTTTTCATCTTTCCAACTTTTCATATTTTTATTTTTTCATCGTACCAAATAGAATATTAGGAATTTCTAATATAGTTAACCCTTATATATATATATATATATATGGTTTTATGCAATTTTTGTTGTATGTGGTCCCGATGATACTTCTACAATTCATTGTGTAATTATTAAGAATGCATGCTACTTTACTCACATTTTAACGAGGAATATTGATGGATTGTGCCGATGTCATGAAAAAAAATAAATTATTTTTCATGTTGGATAGACAAATCCTATTAGAAGTTGTCAATTCTAATTTCTAATATTTATCAAAAGAAATTTTTTTTTTGAATTTTTTTTTTAAATTTAATGCATCGATTATTGAATTAATATTGAATTTTAATTACTACAGAATTCATTGTCAATTTAATTACCATAATTTATTAGATTAATAAATTAAATAATTAAATAAGATTCAACTAATATTCCTCTTATAAAAAACTAAACACTATTCCAAGAAATTTCCCCAAAAAAACAAAATCAAATGAAATTCAAAACACAAATAAGGGGAGAGAGGGAGTACTTATCGTCAAGTTTATAGCATTATCTCCACGTGGCAAGCCACCATTTGTCCTCCGGATATTCCCTTACGAAAAAAATCCAAACCCTCAATGAAAAAGTATTCTGATCCAATCATAATCCACCGTTGACTTTTCTGGCCCTCCATACTACAAAAAAAAAAACGGACGGACCATATATGTTTTATTCATTTCCTAATCTAAAGCAGCACACCACACGAACCATGCCCAACCCAAGTCCAACGTCGACAACTCCGACGAAGAAGAAGAAGCACCAAAACAACGTCGTTTTATTCCGGTGCCGCCATTGATTCCAAGTTCCTCGGTTACGGTCTGAACGGTGAGATTTTAACCGTTACAGTATGGAGTTCCCGTTAATTTCTCGGGCTCCGTACCGTCCGACGACGTCGTATTCTTCTTCTTATAAAGTTTGTCTCTGTGACTTTCCGGTGAGTTTAAAGAAGAGAGTGAAAAAATCTGTCGCCGAAAAAGTAAGGTCGTCGGTGATGAGTGTTAGAGCTTCGGCGGAGCGGAGTAGTGAAAGTATTGACGGAGAGAGAGAAAGTGGGGGAGGGTATACGAGTTCGGCGATGAAGGTGACCACATTTAATCAAAGCTTCGGTGAAGCTGAATTCCCAATTTGGGACAAAATCGGAGCCATTGTTAGACTCAGCTATGGAATCGGTATATCCCTTCACTTAAATGTTTCGAATTTTTCTCAGAAAATTTTAAAGTTCTGTTTGGATGCCATGAAAGCGAGGGAAACGAAAAAAAAAAGTTACTTTTTCACTGTTCTGTTGGGGGAGAGAAATAAAAAGTGAGCAGTTCTGGGTTGGAGTTGAACTTTAGTACAAAAAATGAACCTAAAAAAGGAAATTGATTTATGTTCTGTAGCTTTGAATCTCTGAGTCAATCGCCAGTTCTTGAGATATTGTTATCGAATTAGCCGATACAATTTTATGACGCTGATATAACTGGAATAGTGTATGTTCGCATTTTCTTTTAGGTCGTACTGTTTAATATTGTGTCGCACCGATATGTCTCAAAATTCTTCGAAACAAAACTCATAGCGCACCCTTAAACCATGTTGCTAGTAGAAAAGGAAAGACATTCAATTTGCTTTAACAATAAAGTAATTTCCATATTCCTCATGATCAAAGGCATCATCATTTCTCGAGATTCAAGATCGCGGTATCGACCATTAATGCGGCGTGCTTTGAGACATATCGGTTGCAGCCTTTCGGCGCAGTATCGGACGATATAACCTAAAAAAAAATATTGAATATGACGACAAATTCAAGTTATATTGTGATGTAGTGGCTAATTCGGTGACGATATTTCGGCGATTCGAGATTGACTCGAATACAGCTCGGACAACTCGGCTGAGTTGTGGGAGCCTTAGAATTTATACATATTTTGTAATAGTACCGTCTTTAAAGGTGCCAAAACAAATATGACTCGGGTCGACTCGTATCAATATCGACCGATACTTTGAACGATATCATCACCGCTATTTATACTCTCATCAATGCAACTACTCAAATGAATGTGTTTTCACCTCTCATTTTTGACTACCAAATGAATTAAGTTGACTTGTGCTTTGTGTAGGACTCTGAAGAAAAAGGAAAGAATCTTTTGGATTGCTTCCCCCCCCCCCCCCCCTAAATCAAAGGATTTTTTCCTGAAAAAACTCAATTCATAAAATATTTTCCTTATCTGGGCAAGTATTACAACTCCACTGACCTTGAGTCTAAATTATTTGTTGCATTTCAAATTTATGTTTTCTTTTCAGCAAACTAGTAATTTATTCAGTTAAAAGATGTTTTGTGTTGTTTTTCCTGGAGTGTGAATTAAATTAAATGCTTTAATGGGAAAAGAAGAAGAGAATGAATTTTTACAGTTCTGATTTTTGTACTCCTACCCTTGGAAAATCAGGAATATATGGCGCGATGGCTTTAGCTGGAAGGTTCATATGCTCCATGACAGGAGTCGATTGCACCGGAGGCTTCTATCCATCATTAGATGCAATTGTTGTAGGACTGGGATATGCAGCTCCTCCAATTATGGCCCTTCTCTTTATACTGGATGTATGTTGAATTTTAATTAGTTTTCCGTTTTATATATCTTCTCTTTTTATCTGTACCCTGCTTGTTATATATTCTTCTACTTTTTGAAACATAGAAATTGCTTGTTCAATCTGACACTGGATGGTCAATTGCTATTCTTCTTGAACTTTCCATTTGGTCTTTGCTTTATTGGTTTTGTTACACCGCAATATATTTGTTTTTCCTAAGCAAATTGCATGGTCACAGGATGAAGTTGTGAAGATTTCGCCTCATGCTCGTGCCATCAGGGATGTAGAGGATGAGGAACTGTGGAGTTTCTTTTATGGAATGTCACCGTGGCAGGTAAATAATCTGGATATTTCCCCTTTGTTTCTTCCCGCATGTTGCGCACCTTCAATTATGTCGTAATACGCAGGTGTGGTTTTTTTTTTTTTGTCCAACTATGTTGCAGTTTATACTAATTGTTGCTGCGAGCTCAGTTGGAGAGGAGCTTTTCTACCGCGTTGCTGTTCAGGTCAGTTTCTATGGTGTTATGAGTACCTCTTACTTTTGATGTCTAACACATTACTGAATTCTGTTCAAAACATAGGAAAATCCTTCAAACTAATTAGGCTGCAGGACATTTGATGGCTAGTTAACTTCTTCAGTGATAATCCTGTCTTGATAAATCCTTCTGACCGCACTGCACTCAACTTAACTAAAGCTATGTTTCAACATATTAAGATTGGCCATTCAAATTCTGTTTTGCCATTTTGATTACATAGTTCAAATATCTTGTTACCACATATTCATATGACCTCCGACATACATCCACTTTGGTATCCCTTGTGCTTGCAGCTCTTAAACCTGAATTAATCACTAGTGGTAACTTGAGGAAGTCTCTTTTGTATTATATAGGACTCAGGAACCTCACCGACATCGGTATGTCAACTATTTGGCATCTATTTAGTGCAAGTTGAAAATTTGTAAAGATTGGAAGGGCTTATGCTGCTGTTGCCTTACCTTTCATTATTTTATTAATCAAGGGCGAATGAAGGATGTGCGCAATAATTTTGTTTCTTGCTGTCACTCGATCGCTTCAATACTTATAACTTGAGAGATAATAGGAAAGTCTTCTCTCAAATTCGAAAATGTGACACAAATAATGACTCTCTTTGCCGGCATTCATAGCACGAGACTTTACTACTCAAGTTGCCTTATGTATACATCACCAATACATTTTTTTGTCTCTCTTTTTTGACTTTATAGGGAGCATTGGCTGACATATTTCTAAGGAGCGCCGATTTGGTGACAGATGCTCGTGGAATGGCATCGTTGGTGAAAGCACTATTCATTGATCTGTTCTTTCAAGTTGTACATAGTCCAAATGATTGCCATTTTGCTAATGTACTTTGTTTCTTGGTGTTGTAGACTGGTATGCTACCTCCATTTGTCCCATTTGCTCAAGCTTTTGCAGCTGTGATCACTGCTGCTCTTACTGGTTCCCTTTATTATGTGGCCGCCTCTCCGAAAGGTTGATTATTCTCTGATAAATTCACATTTGCAAAAAGTTTCAGGAATTATGTTTAGTTTCCTATTTTCTTTTCAGATCCTACTTATGTCGTTGCACCAGTGTTGCATTCTCGCTCTGGTCGTGAAGATCTCAAAAAGCTCTTTGCAGGTTCAATCCCTTCCTCCTTACTTGAAACCACAAATATGAATCTATCTTCCTTGTTTTACATGGCTCTTAAGTCATTAGACCGATTCATGTGTTTTCTTGTGATTTATACAATGGCACCTCTCTTGGTTTCCTCTTTCCAGCCCTTGGCACTCCTACTTTCCTAAGTATCATGCATGGTAATTAAACAGTCTAGAAGCACCTTACCTACTTGACGTTTAAAATTATACATATTATCATGTAAGCACCTTACCTACTTGACATTTAAAATTATACATATTATCCTGTTGTATTTTCGTACCAAAGTGAAATAATTGAAGCCGTTAACATATTATAAAATTAATATAATACTCAGGTTATAAAATTAGATTTTTCGTATGATTTACTTTCACTCATGTACTGGACAAAAATCACTACTAAGGCGGCTGAGGTAGATATCTTCCATTCTTCAACATGCCGAGTCTTTTCTTCCCTCAAGTGAGGCTTTTGATTAGGGGCCGAAAATTACTTAGTCATGATTTCTCTTCTATGTTTTTTTTTGATTTGGGATATATTATAAAGGCTATTTTAGGCGCTTAAACAATATTCTTTTGGACGGAAACAATAGAAACCATAGTTTTAAAATCCAGCCCGGACATCAACCCGACAGAGGGGCCAGGTCAACGGGTTACTGATTCAACCGTTGGATCACTGGTCAAACCGGTAATATAATAAAAAATAAAAAATAAAAAATAATAATAATAAATAAGTTAAAAAATCAAGAATAGTGGAGACAAAAAATGTATTCTGCAAGTTCTAAGGGCTCCTCCATGAACAAGTTCAAGCAAATTAACATAGGTTAACCTTAATGAATCAACAATCTAATTTTACTGAATCAATTCAAATCTTCAATCTATATCAAATCAAATTTAACTAAAATTTTCACCAAATCAAACTTAAAATACAAACAATCTAGTTTTACTGAATCAACAAAGCCATAATCAATCAACCCGTAACCATACAATACAACATTAGTGAGTATAATATACCAATTGTAATGTGCAGAGAGAAGAGGGGAGATAACGTACCTTCTGGTGCCTGAAGTCTCGCTTGAGGGAAGAAAATGTGTAGAGAATGAGTATTGAAGTCGATGGAAGTCCGATCGAGTCCATGTCCAGCCTTCGAGTCTTCACTAGTTTCACTTCCACAGCACGCAGAGAGAGTGTCATCGGACAGACCTTCAATTTGAGACCGTTAGCCTTCGAGTCTTTGATCTGTTCCTTTTGAATCTTTGATCTGTTCCTTCCCTTTCGAGCCTTCGATCGAATCTCACTCCCTTTCGAGCTCCCACTGCACACTACTGTATAAAACTAGAGAAAATCAGAGCAAGAAAAGATTGAGAGAGAGAGAGGGGAACGAATGACGTCCACAAAGGAGGTTGGCTGAACAACACAATTTAGGGCAAAATGCCCAAAATGGCCAAAAATCAATCTTTTATAGAAAATTAAATGACCTGCCCGGTTTGATGGAACCCGTCCGCTTTGACGGTTTTCCCTGGATTTTTGCCGGTTCATCGGATTGACTCCGATTCTTATGCATAAACGATCTATTACGTGAATTGGCCCAGTTTAGACACCGGTTCACCGGGTCAATTTGCTGGGCCGAGCCGGGTTTTAATACACTAATAGAAACAAAGCTCACATGATGTTTTGGGCGTATAAAACACACTCTTTGTTAACTTAGACAATAAAAGTAAAAAATTTTACTTTGGTACAAAAACTATAAGATAGTAATGTACATAATTTTAAAAATCAAGTAGGAAAAGTGCTTCTAGCCGAAATCACAGGGGGCTAAAAAGTATGTAAGAAGTGGAGTTAGGATTGGAATTCCAATAGATCTACCTTTAATTTTTATTTAGAAAAAAAAAAATGTATGTCAATATTTTAGACAAATGGACTCGATCTAGTTTTTATGGCAATAATTTGTGTGACTTGCAGAATTTATTTATGTATAACCAGAGTCATTATTATGACTATAATACTCTGTTTGGTATGATTGAAAAGATGAAAAATTTGAGGGATAAATAAAACATCATGTTTGGTAATGATGAATTAACTTTCCTTCCAACTCATTAAAATCAATCCTTCCAAAATTGGAAGAAAAGTGAATAAAAAATTAATTATTTGTGTTGAAATGTATCTTATTTGTCTATATATTATGTATTTATTAATTTCATATAAAAATACAATGATATATATATATATATATATATATATATATATATTTAAAAAATTGTAAAAAAAATAAAATATTAAATGTTAAATTAAAAAAAATATTTTTTTCATCTTAACTAGTGGTGAAAATTTTTAACTCAACACGATGATACGACTCGAACTCGACACAAATTTTATGACACAAACTTAATTATAGCTCGACACAAACTTGAAAATGACCTGAGACGTGAACAAAAAATATAAAAGGCTTATAATTTTATGACTCAACACGAATTTGACACGACACTACTCGATTGTTACCCTTAATATTAGACGAAAAAAAATAAAAAAAAAAATAGTCATTTTTATTTTTCATTCATCCAACCAAACACAAATGAAAAAAATTGTATCTTTCTTATTTTCCATCCAAGAACAGAAAGTGTATCCCTCTTACTTTCCATATTTTCTATCAAACGGAGTATAAGGATATAAATCAATTACCTGCTTGGGTTTCCAATTTTTCAAAATGTATAGAGTAAATTACTTCTGTCTCCCTAAGGTTTGGTCAATTAACAATTAGACCCCTTGTTTGAAAAATAACACTGATTTCTCTTGTAAGTGACAACTGTTCTATCAGTCTAACAGTAACACAAAAATGACTATAATGCCCTTGACACAAATGATTCCCTATTTATTGACCTTTAGTTAATTTTACAACACCCAATTGTAAATTACCACATCGATATAATAGAATTGAAGGAAAAAAATTTACTTAATTAATATAATAGAATTTATCCCAAATGAAAACAAAATCTTATTTATTCCATAAATTTTATTACAAAACTCAAACCAAATCCAATCAATTTATTTATTGAATAATATTTATTTTCAAAATCAAATCTTATTAATTTTATTCAGAATTAGTACTAAATTTGATTAACTTTGTTAATTAAATCAAATTTATTGCAAACTCGAACCAAATCTAAATCAATTCAATTAATTAGATTAATTATCTCAAAATTCAAATCTATTCCTATAATTTATTTAATTTTGTGCTAAAACTCAAATTTAGTTTGGAAACAAACTTAATTACATAATAACCTAATATTTAATCGCACACAAAAAGGCACAAACCACTCCCACTCAACCCAATCTCCACTGTTTGGAAACAAGGTTTAGCGACCAATACTGTGGATATTGGTTAGTTTGAGTCAAGGATAAGTTAAATCTAACCATGATAAGGGTAATATTAGAATTTTAAAAAAATGAATTATTTATATCAGCAAATTTTGCACGTTCCTTTAACGTCAAACTGATGGTCGGGGAAAATGTGTTACTACAATCAAATCAGAGGGGACTGCAGTTTTATATGATTATATATCATTCCTCTGTACATAACCTGCTGTTCATGAGGCCTGAGTGAGTCTCCATTTGATAAATGCATGTAAGCTAATGATGGTGAGCTTTGTGCAGCCTGGTATGAGAGAAGGCAAATGAAAAAGATATACTCTCCACTCCTGGAAGCACTTTTAGCCCTTTACCTTGGATTTGAGTGGATGCAGGTAACTCAGTTTCTGAGATAATTACTCAGACAATTTTCATTATTATCAATAATAAATTTTGCAGGGCGAGGGTCGATAATAATTGCATGCTGATTTAAATGGCAGGCAAATAACATTCTTGCGCCGATTATCACACATGGGATATACTCTGCTGTTGTTTTGGGACATGGCCTGTGGAAGATTCATGATCACCGGAGAAGACTACGACAGAGAATACAGCAGCTGAAACTAGAAGGAAAAAAACTCATCCAAATATCGAAGCTAGGTAGCAAGTAAGTTAATATTTGGATTCGGAAGGAATTTGTATATTAAATAGCAGAGCTTGATTACTATAGAGAATACTACAATGCCATGGATGTATAGCTCTGAGAAGCATACATGGTGTATAAAAACAATACATAGCAGAGCTTGGTTATTATAAAGGATACCATACCATAGATGAATACTTGAGAAGCATGTACGATGTTTGCGAACATTGTATATGTTGAATGAGAAGAACAAGATGTCTACTGTAAGTGCTAGCCTTGTACCTGAGAAATATTGACTCAGACAATCAATTTTGGCGAAGACAAACTCATTTAGCAGATCCTAAATGATTGGGACATAAGGCTTTGTTTAGTTTGGTTACAATCAGTTTTAAATAAGGTTAGTTCAATCCATTAGGTTGTGAGCAATAGTTCTCTCACATTGTGTTTCATCCATTTACATGAACCACTAGTTTCTGACTAGTTAAAACCAAGCACCTAAATGGTGTAGATCTGCATCAAAGCGACAGCTGAGAATTTACTGGATAAGGAACTCTCTAAGTGGGGTGTGAGTTTGGGTTGTAAGATGGATGAATTTCCACAAAGTTGTACGGAATATGAAGGGTTAAGGAGGAGTTTCTCAACCGTTTTCACATTCCGACCCCTACAGTCACAGCCCATTCTCAAGAGTATCTGCAGTTCACGCTTGAACTACTCTCTTTTCATTAGAAGATGTTGTCCTTCTTCCGCGGAAAATGGTGCAGGGGTTGAATCAGCTTAGTACAAGGTTCTTCTCCATCTCAATTTGAATGGACAATTTTCCCCTTTCTTGATTTTTCATCTATTGTCTTTAACCCTAGGAATGGAGTCCTAAAATCTACAATGGTTACATTTCAATTCATCAAAACACACCTAACAACGTGTAGGTTTCTTGTGCAATGGCCAGCGGTTTAATTTTTCACAATGATTGAGAAACTTTGCTCTAATTCCTCCTCACCTCAATACCATATAGGTTTAAGCTCAAAATTGAAGAATCCACTGATTAACATGTATGATTTGTGCAAACACCACCCCCCCCCCCCCCACCCCCAACCCGCCCACCCACAAAAAGTGATTACGAGGCTCATATTTGATTCTGGAAAAGAGCTCAGGTAGGGTAGATAGGTCTTTAGACTAACAAAACAGCATTCTTCCTGCAACGGTTAATGGAACTCTTCTATGTTGATCAAGTGCAGTTGCTCATCCTTTCAACCCTTTGGGGAAATGCTCAATTATCAATTTGCATACGAATGTACTTCTAAGGAACAATGGAATGATCTGAGGATCGAAAACAAGGGCTACAGCATACATTTGCAAAAGATGAGGGTGAAAAACCAAACATTCAGTACTCATATTAGAATGGTAAATTTCTAAGATTAAGCAACTTTGGCAGTTCATTGATGAAACTCAAGTAAGCTCTTTATTTCTCAAGGCCAGGGGATGACTAAACACGCTCTATATGTCAAGTAACCTACTTATTGCATGTTGTCACCTCAATCTTCTAATTGGGATATGACACTGGCAAAGACTGGTAACCCTGGCACATGTCGGATAGAAGGCAGTATTCGTTTTTGGCATGGTAGGTCGCCATTAAGCCTGCATATATTTGGAAGGCAATGGATTATTTCTAATCTTTGAACATCAAATCCAATATATAAGAGTACAATGGCAAGATAGTCATACCATAGCCTGCAGTTTGAACATCAAAACCCTCCTCCTATGAAACAAGAAGAAAGTGGGGGAGGATTAGAACAATTTAAATTTCCAAAAACAGTTCAAACAAGTAAGCTGGAATATAATTCACCTGCAATTCTCGTATGAGTGGCAAACTACCAGTGATAGAGTAGGGTTTTTTACATGCCCTACCACCTCTTCAGTGGCATTACACAATACATGAAAGCCACGAGAATCAAGATCACAGGCAACTCCAGATATCGCCTCATCAAAACTTATAGTAATTCTGAAGTGGCAGAGAAACAAATAGAATAACCAAAGAGAAAAAGAACACAATGCACACAAAACGATATCAGAGAAAAGACCAATGCACACAAAAACGAATGTATCACATTTTTAAAGTGTGTCTTACTGACATCCTTTTTGAAGAAAAGAAGAAAACAAATACCTTCCCCTTAGGTTCTCATCTGGTAGCACATATTTTGAAACTGGTCCCCGGGTATCTAGCTTTTCTATGTTGGCATTTAGTCGTCAACATACTCTTGTAGCTTCTTTATCACGTCCAATACACTAAACAGAGAGAATCCCAAAAATCCGACTTAAATTTTCTTTTTTTGAAACAATTTTAAAAAGTTACCCCAAAGTAAGGAACATGAAGTAATACAAAAGGAAGCAATATTGGAGGAACCCAGATGACAATATGAAGTCAACTACTAAACAAGTAATGAGATCACGGGGAACAGAAGCCCACCTGTAAATGGAGTCAACCCTGCAACAGCAAGGAGCCATAATTAGGATTTATTTCATAGATCAATTATTCATGAATATTCGCAAAGACAATACAGACCTGAACATCTCCTGATATTGTGCACTCAGCTGGAATTTGATTGATCCCACCTCCTGGATCTGTGCAGAAATAATAAATATGGGACATGAAAGCCACCAGGGCAAACAAGCAAAATCATATTTAGTTCCTCGCATTTCTCATTTATTAGCTCAAAACTTACAACTCCACTGAGTTGGTTTCATGGTTGACGGTGTTGCAAACCCATAAACTTGTTCTTTAGGATGGGGAGGGAAGTCCTTGTAGAACCGCACCTGGATTATCTTTAAGCACTTCCATTGCCAGCTCCAAAGGATTGATAGCCTTCA